AAGAAGGAAACAGCTTAGTAGGTTGTAGGAGGTATTGTTATGCAACAGCATTGCGTGACGTTTGCAATCTAATTATATTAGAGAGCTTAAGCTTCGCATTCAACGACAAACGTCGGGCAAAGAAAAAATTTACGCTATAAAGCAATAAAAAGTAAATGGGCTTGTTGTTTTATAACTAGAATGCTTAACTATTCTTGTGCCATATGAAAGAAAATATGACACGCAGAAATCGAACGAACATTATGCCAAGAAAAGTCGGTCTTGCTGTTCCCGCAAACGTGAAGCTTAAACTCCCTAATAACTTGCGCATACGACGCGCACATACCAAGAGAAAGGGAGTTCCCGTCTTATCTAATTAGCATTAACAGCTTTTACAGATACAGATACAGATATTGCACAGCACACTCCCTATCAGAGTTTTTCAGTGACTGGTTACATACTGCTTTTTCCGCAACACACTGTCCATTCTCACTCAAGTAAATTTAAATATGTCATCCAACAGCATTAAGACGCAAATCGGAACAAGATCAACAGATCACCCAACTCAGACTGAGTAATTTGCTCTTTATCAAAACATCACTTCTCTCCAAAATGTCCAGAAGCGTAGTCAGGATTCTTGGTGAGGGGGGCAGCAAAAACCTTGGTGGGGCCATGTTCTTCTTTTTATAGAATAAATTTTCTCAGGGAGCGCCAAAATTTTACCAGGGAGGCGCCCCCCCCCCGACCCCCAACCTGGCTACGCTTGTAAAAATGTTTTCAGCGAAACCGTCGACGTGCCGTCATCCGCTCTGACTCCAAAAGTTGTCCATCATCATCTGTTTTCCATTGCCATTGATCTTCAAACAATCAGGGTAAATATGTAATCTAACAACATATAGTCGCAAATAGCAACAAAGGCTAACAGATGATTAACACGATGTGGGTGAAAAGATTTCTCTAAATTTGAACTCGGAGAAGTTTTATATGACATATCGCTGCTAAAATTTTCGAAGAGCAGTGATGGTTTGATAAGATCGGGTAACCACCTGTTGTAATAACTTGAACAAGGTGGGGGTCCAGTGTAGATCGAGGTTGTAGGAATAACACAGTGTAAGTAAAACGTTTCTTTCAACCAGCTGAAAGAAAGATTCCGAGTTCAGGTTGAGCGAGAAACCTATATACCCACAACGTGTTAATCATCTGTTGGCCTTTGTTCCCATTTGCGACTTCATGTTGTTAATTAGATAACATATTTACCCTAATTATTTGAAGATCAAAGGCGATGGAAAACAGAAACGGTCTGTACCAGAGTGGTAGTACCAATGTGAAATTTCTGTGCTGAGTGGTTATATTACTACCTGAAATAAACGAGCAGAAACTCGACGTTTCGAGCGAAGGCTACTAACTCTTGACGAAGGGCCTTCGCTCGAAAGGTCGAGTTTCGGCTTGTTTGTTTCAGGTAGTAATATAACCACTCAGCGATGGTGATGATGATAGTGATGATGATGATGATGATGATCATGGTGGGTAACTTTTGGATCGAGTCAGAGTACTGATGACGGTTTCACTGAAGACATTTTGGAGAGCAGTGATGTTTTGATAACGAGCAAATTACTCAGTCTGAGTCAGGTAATTTGTTGGTCTTGTTCCGATTTTCGTCTTCATGCTGTTGGGCAACATATTTAAATTTAATTTAGTGAGATTAATGTATAAAATCGTGAAGCATGAAAGTATTGTATTTGAAAGATAATTATGATATTTTAATGAAAATCACAATACCCGATGTTGCATATTTAAAGGGAATAAAACGTGCAAACCATAGATACCCCCCCCCCTAAAAATTGATAAATAACGATATGTGTGTTCTAGATGTTTACAGGGCCGTACGCAGAATTTTTTCACCAGGGGGAAGTATGGCCTATATGCCGAAAAAAGTCCCAAATATTCGAAGAATAATTAATATAATGACATTCTAAAAGCCGTAAATATAGTTTTCTCTAGGTGGGGGGGGGGGCAGTTACCCCCTGTCTCCCCGCTGTGTTCGGCCCGGAATGTTTATGATTATGATAATATTTAAAGCCTGAAAAACAGATTCGCTTGCGAACGTCATGCAATTGCTGTAGTATAAAATAACATCATATTTTGAATAAGTTATTGTAATGTTGGCTTGGAAGTGTTCCTGGCCAGGGCTCGACACGGTAAATTACTCAGAATGTTTGGAAAAAACCATTAAAATGCACAAAACATAAAAATATCATATATTTTTAAAACACTCCGATGTCATCTTGTTTCAGTTCAGCCCTTCTTTCGCACATTTCATAATTTTTTTGTTGTCCAGGTTTCTCCAGTTCTGGATTGAGATCAGTTTTTATCTGCGCGTGCGCATTAAGTGTTTTGTGGTCAAGCGCATGCGCATTTGCAACACAACAATGGCGGTTCACGGATTTCGAAATACGACGAAGCATGAACTTTGGAGAGGTTGTACTTCAATTTGTGCAACTATTTCGCTTGGGGGGAAGTGGATTCTAACTAAGTAAGTTCTAATCTATCCATTCATGTAAAAATTATGTAGTTACACGAGGGGTGCTACGGAATTGAACATTTTCGACCCTCATCCAACGGCCTAAATACATTTCTGTTGGTTATGAGCTGTTAAAGAATTGCTAAATGCGAAATTTAAACGTATTAATACATGTTGTTTACTTACAAAGTATAAAGTACAGTATATTAACATATGATAGTTTGGTTTATTGATTGGAAAAATTCGATGTCTTCGAAATAATATTGTAGTAATAGGTATGAATGTTAATTCATAATCGTGATATTTTAATTACATAAATAAATATCATTTTCTGATATTGTTTGTATTTGTAGTTCAAGATGTCAGACACAGACAGACAACTTCCCACACGAAATAAATTTGATTAATTGCTCGCGACTTTGAAATTGATACTTTTTTAAATAAAATTTGATGCATCCAAAACCTGTTCTGATAAGATTTGACATAAACCTCGAAAATCGAAATAAACAACACAGTATACGCGATCGACTGTCAGCATTTCATTCAGATTCAGACTGTAGCTCACACAACAATATCAAATTTCTCCCTAAATATTCGTTTCTTTCTATGCTAGCCACAATAATAATTTAGGCTTACATTGCCTCTGCAGGCAGTTGTAGTAGTTTGATATTCCAATCCTTTGTTTCCAAAAAATAGTCGATTTTGTGATCAAAATGTACATTTTGTAATACAAATCCCTATTGCACTGACTGGCTTTACTGGCTGCGAGCTTGAGAGATCCAGTGAGCTCCATATATATCTGGAGTAGGAACTTGGTTGCTCAAAGTGAAGCCAGTTTCGTGTTAACCGTGCATACAAAAACAATAGAAAGGGACTGGAACTGACGTCCAACAGCTCCTTCAATTTCCGCCATCTTGGCAAGGAGTGTGTTGAAATTTCGTATTTTGACTTCGATTTAAAGAATAATATTGTGATTTTATGAACTGAAAACTTGATTAGTGATATGGTCCATCAGAAAAAACTGGAATTAGCTGGGGAAAATGGTATAAAAACTGTTTACGACCTTCAGAGCTATTGGACGTCAATGGCCGCCATCTTGGATTTTTTTGGCTTCACTTGGCCTATTGCCAAAACATCAGAAGTTCCTACTCCAGATATATATATATAGAGCTCACTGGAGAGATCCCGCGCGTGCGCACTGAAACTGGTTACGCGTTGTACACGAGAGTTGCCCTTCTATTATGACAACGGTGCAAACTCGTGTTCAATGCCAATGGCACAATGCAATATTCAATGAAACGAGAACTAGAACCCTACTAGATCTTACGAGAATCTTATCAAAATTGCTATAAACACTGCTATAACTGTGAAACTATTGACATCTAAAGTGACATTATTGAATACTTGCGAAAAGCTGAAAACGACTCATGAAAGACAACTTGATCTTGGGAATATAAAGTCAAAGGTCAATGAGACTTGTTATTGAGAAACATGTCACAATTAGGTTAAAATGCGGATGCGGAACGGATCCGCGGATGCGGAACGGATATGGGGATAAAATACGTCATTTTAATGAGTTTTTCGCCCCATTTTTACGTTTCTGTGTTTTTGATTTATGTTTTTTTGTAATGGATGCAACGTCGTATTAACTAGTTATACAGCAGTATTTCAATTAAAGAATGTCACTGAGACAATAGTCAAATGCATGTGCTGTTAGTATAGGGGCTGGTATATCAATACCTCATGGGGATACTTTCAGCGACAGCTCCCAATGCAAATGTAGTTTTAGCATATACAAAATTTGGTTGTTGGTGAAACAATTTAAATTTTGAGTTGTCGCGTGTAGCATCACAATAAATAAACGAGGCACGACGAAGGAAGTGACAAGGAATTGTTTATCTCGTAAAAACGTTGTTCTAATCCACATTTTTGAGTAACGTGCAGGGTTGGTATACAGTATATGTTAGATGAATAATTAGGCCAAATCGTCATTAGTGCCGTTTAGAAAACAAATAAAACAAAAGGCCAAGACAAAGAAAACAAAGGCCTAATGTGACGGTGTTTGGCCTAATTATTCAGCAAACCTACTAACCCTGGTAACGTGCCTGCTCTAGCCTATGCCTCCTCGACCCTATACAGTTCTTGCCGTGTTTTTTTCAATTTGAAACTTTACACTATCCTTGGATCCCTAGTTTTTTATAGACCCTGTATATAAAGGAGTTATATTCTGTGATTTTATTGTTAGTCGATTATTCGCGGTTGGTGTAGGCCTTGCCCCTTGGAACATTCAGATATGTCAGCTGGTTCATGTAGGTTTTACGTCGTCCTGGAAAATGGAAAGAACAAACTCTAGGACCTGTTGTTGGAGAGCAATCTTTGCTTGCAATTTACTACAATTTTACTATTTGGTAAATTGCAAAAGAACAAGGGTCTTCATTAATGGCTTGAACAGCCTCTAAAAGACGACAAAAAGCTGCAGCATACTCGCATTCGACAGTAGTCATGTTGGATTGTTTTGAATTTTCCCGTCGTGTTTACTAAGACCAGAATTCCCCGCGCGCATCAGGCCTTGTGACGTAATTATGCATCAGGTCTATTTCCTCTCTGCATGATATATAACACAGAGCGACAACCGTTGGACAAGTACAGTGTTGATCACACTTTCAACAAATTTGTCAAATATATGTATAACAAAATAGTCAGTTTTTAGTTCAAGTCAGTTAGTGCATGTATTTCAAGAAAAGGTCTCTCAAAATATTGCTTCAGATGGGGATTGGGGACTATATTGATTTTTCATGCAATATTACCTAAATTACTGCCACTATCAAGACTATAGACATTACTGTCCAACTGTCTGTATAATGTTCCAAGACTATATGGTCATATATAGTCGAAGACTCGAAGACCATAGTCATAGTGATTAGTTCAAGACTACAGTCATATATATCAAGACTTCATTCACATGATCCAAGATAATATATCATGTATATAGTCCAAGACCTGTCATCAGCCTCCTTCGCAAACATTTCGTATAGTTCACCAGGATTGCAACCAAATTTTTCCCCGCCCCTCCCCCCACCCCCTGCAATCTATCTACGGAGGAGGCTACATATAGTCATACTTATCACTGGCCAAAACTTTTGTCCTATATTTCAATCTATAATTATAAGTCCTTTATAAGACTAGTCTTATTGTTCAAGGCTATGCCAAGGGTATATATATAGTCGTGCATAAACCTATATTCATGGGTGTAAAACGATAGTGATTATAGTAGACTATAAGACTATAGTATAATCATATAGTTTTTGATGACATGGTCCAAGATATAACTGAGAAAAAATAAATGAAATGCTTTTGTTCTTGGAAGTGCTCGTGTATTTTAATTGTTCTTGTAATCTTAATTTTATGTAAAATATTGCATTTAATGGAGATATTTAATAATAGAAATTGAATATTCTAGATTCTGCATTATGTACATTATTCTCAGGGAATATGTACATACTACCAACAAGCTCTTTTTGCTTTCTCGGAATGCATTTTGTATTTGAAATGGTTGTTAAATGTGATATATTGTTGAAACAAATGCCGATTGCGTCAAACGGTTTTCTATATGACGCCTAAAAGATCCGGTGAAAGTTTCATTCATTCATTATAGCTTTTACATCATTTGGATATTCCTTAATTAGGCTATTATGCTACTAAGAGAGCGTTTACTTAATTACCTGTAGTAGTGTACATATGTATGGATGTGTTTCATCACCGTATACCTCACTTCACTACACCCTCCCTTAATACTTAAAACTCCATATATATTTCGTGCATGTGATTTTCGCAGTTTGTTAATTAAAGTTCAGTATTCACACTGTATTTATTCAAATGTGGTGTACTAATTTTGAAGTGCTCTTTCCAGTGGCTGCAGTTCATTTCCTCATATTGCTACTTCTGAACACAATGAGGTCTCACTTCCAAAGATTGAATAATAGTGACCACTAGGCAGTAGGCATGTGAATTATCCAATCTGGTGAATTAAGTAGCAATGTTATAGAAACTTGTTATTCATATCGTATATATCCAAGTGTAGTCAAACGTTGTGTTCATACTTATTTTGAGCTGATTGTTCCATTGGTAAAGTTCACTTTTCATTTTGTCTTAGTCTCCTTATCAACATCGGAATGGCGAATAATTTTGATTTCTAGATGCAAGTTAATCACTCATGTAGATGTCATGTAGATACATATACACTTGCCTTTGGCATTTTTCTATTGTGCGCCATTATTTCTGACACTTGCATGTTACCTTATTAGGTCAAGGAGGAATGTTCGCAGACATAAGACGAGAGGAGTGGTGGAGTCTACTAATAAAGGTATGACGATAATCGGGATATATTCGAGTATTGGTTGCGCAGTAATTATAGTGCATATGTAGTATCTCTCTGCGTCCTGGACATTTCTCTGATCATAATTTCTTGTCAGTCGCATGTAAGAAGATTGCTTTCCAGTTTCAGTCTACCAATAAATGCAGGTTTTCATCCAGGACTCAGGTTTTCTCCGCGCGTCAAGATAATCTTGCGCATACTGAGTAGGGTCAGTGGTGATTGTTCAACAAAGACTGCTGACCCTAATCCTTACTCTGAATCCAGACAAAACAGCGAGACATGAATCCATATCCCATTTAATTCGTTCTTCTGCCTTTGCTGAGAACTGCAAAAGAACAATAAGGACGTCGTGAAATTCGTACTGAACGAAGGCAGAAGAAAAGAACGGATATAGTTTCATGTCTCGCCGATTTGTCAGGGTAAGGATTAGGAGTAGGGTTAGGGTCAGTATTCATAAACAGCGAGACATGAAACTATAACGAGAAGACACGTTGAGTAACCACCAGTGACCTCAAACTCAGTATGCGCAAGATAATGTGCAGACGGGCAAAAATTGTGAAGCACATCTTCGTACTTCGTTGTCTTGTTCATTCTCTATAATGAGCCGAACAATAAATTACTTCAAGATAAATTTGGCAACGTTTTGGATTTATTGATAGAATTTTAAGGTTAAAAAGCCTAAAGCCGCCAAAGCAATATAAGGTGACTCAGGATAATGAGCAACACTTTAAATTTACAATTTGAGCCATAATTTGTCGCAAATAGATTAGAGTAAAGCAAAACCAAAAGCGCGCGAAAATATTTGACTGAGCCCACGATGCCATGCAATTAATACTCAGCAATATGGCCATTTTCCTGTGCAATTTAACTTAGGTGAGCATTTATCCATCAACCTATATGAACGGGCTTTATGATTGGTTGATGATAACAATAAAAGACAATGAACTATACTGAGAAATTACCTTTCTGAAGAACGAGTCATAAACACTGATCACTATTGTCTACGCAGTAAAACACCCTGGTATTTACCTGCCGAAGAAGCTCTATAATCACAATAGGAAATCGAGTATTTGTGGTAGAAACTTTGGCATGTTAGAATAAAAAAGAGTTTGTTTATTAAAGTTGTAACTAAATTACTATTGGCGCGTGGAGAACGTCCTTTTCTACCTGTAGTTAAGAAATATTCGTTTATCAGCTGGCATAATTGTATATTTAGCAAGTTGTTATTGGGAGGAGGGGCTCAACAAAGGAGGTCGGAAGCATGCTCCATGCATGCATGCATGCATAGCATACCTAATTTTATGAAATTTTTATCTCTGCACACTAAAATTTCATAAGCAATAAAGAGTCTGCCAGTCCAGAGCTCGAGACTACTGGTACCCCATGAAAAATGTTACAGACTGACTGACAATACAACCATGCCTGCCACGAAAAGCAGGAACTTTTTAACCGAATCAGGGTTTTCGTCCGAGAAAAATAGAAAATATTATAGGAAACGGTAGATTTGGTCGCTTTTATTGTACATATTATAATTTTTGTGATGTTACTCTGAGTGTGCATCCACACCGGGCAAGCTGAAAAGTTAGCTTGGCCACGGTGGGAATCGAACCCGCGACCTTTGGAATACTAGTCTAATGCTCTGCCAACTGAGCTACGTGGTCAAGTCGGTTCGAGTTGATGATATTTCGGAACTGAGCCTAGTTCCTTCGATATCAGTGTATTCTATGATATGATTATTGTGTGTGTGTTGGTGTTATGTACTCAGGTGAATATGATGTTGGTGATGTTACGGAGAAAAATAAAATTTTCAAAACTTTGCTTGCAAAGTATGCTTGCATGCAGTCTCACGTTTTTGCTTGCTCTTATGTCGAAGCTTATGCCAGTTTTCCAGCGAAGTTGTTCGCGCGAAGCAAATCGAAAAACAATTTTCGGCAATAGAAACTGGTGTGGGTGTCCACAAAACGCAATTTTTTTGCTAACCAATCATACCGCCAATCGAAAGTTGGTTTTCCATGACTTGAGGCAACAGCATATGCATGTATAAACTTAATTACAGTTGCATCACTGGCAAGGCCGGCGAGAGCCAACCACGGGCCCCGGGACAAACCCTGTCCCTCTCGACTCTCCCGCTGGCTATTTTTAATCGCAATCAACGAGAGAATTGCCAGCGAATTACTTGCAAGAAATCGCCGCATAACTGATAAAAACGCAATGTGAACGATGTTTAGCTAACTGTTTTTGCTGAGAAAACGATCGAAAAATCGTTTATTTCACATTTGGTACGTTTTACGATCGATGACGACGATCAGCGGATAGTGTGCAAGTAGGCGTATTTCATTTAGGACAAACATAAAGCGATGATAAACAATGCGAACATTTTACCGAGATTTCCGGGCCCCTCTGAGCACTCCGGGCCCCGGGTATTTC